GTAGGGAAATTGATTAAGTAGTGTAGGTAGAAGGTATGTGGAGGCCAGGTGTGTATAACATGAGGTAACGGGAGCAATACTTAGCTGGTTTTTTTTCCGACATCGCTGGACTAAGAGGGTGACAAAATGACTGGAGTAATCTTTGCTGAGATATCCTGTTCTAGAGGTCCCACCATCAGACAGCAAAGACCGAGCACCTGTGGAGACATTCAAGGTCAGGCTGGATGTGGTTCTGGGCAACCTGATCTAGTTGAAGGTATCCCTGCTTATTGCAGGGGGGTTGGACCAGATGACCTTTGAAGGACCCTTCCAACTCAAACTATTCCATGGTTCTGTGATCTCTGTCAGCAATAGCACTGCGGGAGAAGCACAGAGAATTTATTCATTTCTGTGGGATACTCTGGATTTATGCTTGGTTGCCAAGAAAGATGCTTCTAGAATTAGAGCTTTGGGATTGATCATAAAGAAGAATGGAAAAGCCAGTAAGTTTAATGTGCTGATTCTACTCTCTCCTGCTTTATTTGGGGGCATTTTGCAAATTATGTACAATCACATGAATTAAAAATATATATATTCTTAGATCCATAGTTGCCTTTAGCTTGGAAGGGAGCTCAGGAGGTCTCTGGGGCAACTTCCTGCTCAAGCTAGATCTGCTATGAGATCAGATCAGGTTCCTGTGTGCTTTATCCAGTATGGTCTTGGAAAACCTTCAGTGATGGAGACAGCATGAGCTTTCTGGGTGACTTGTTCCACTTCTTGACTGTCCTCATGATGCAGAAGTTTTTCCTTATATCCAGTGAGAATCTCTCTAATTTCAAATTTTATCTGCTGTTTCTTGTCTTCTCACCATATGCTATGGAACGTTTGCAAACCTGAAGCTCTTGAAGGCCATGTTGACAGCAGACTAACAGTATTAGTGTTTAGCAGACTCTTAATAGCTGTCCGATGCATTGAGAAACACAGCAACCAGCATTATTTTCTGTTTTTACAAGGTGAGAGACTTCACTGGTGATGGAAAGAAGCAATTATGTTATAAATGCAAAGCATCATGCACAGGATGAGATTAGAATGTTCTTAATCCTAGTCACTAGCCTGTAGTACTTAGATAAAATACTTAAAATATGAATAGTGCCAACACAGAGGACTGCACTAGTTTTTAAAAGATGCTTACAAAGCAAACTCTATGTAACTAAGAAAACATAGGAATATAAGAAATAAATGTCTCAGTAAGGGTAGAATACTTCTCCTTGTTTCTAATACGAATAAATTCCATTTCAGTTCAGTTTTAGAGAGGGTTTCTTAAAAAGATGTTAGGTAGCTTTCAGCGATGAACAAAAAATATGGTCCAAATGACTTTGTGAAAGTGAAGCTGTTCCATTACAATTCACCAGTACTAGCAAACAACACAATAATTGGTTAGCATTGGCTGTTTTGTATGCATGTAACCTGTATCAAGTGATTTTTAATGAAATGGAAGCAGATATTCAAACAACAAGCTGTGTTCAATCTGCAGGAGTTATTAAAATGCCGTATAATAATGCCTAGATTTTTTTTCCCTGCAAGATCACAGGGGCCACCACAGTAAACTGATACTAATTTGAAGGAGTTACATATTTAGTGCCAGAAAGGACGTCACTAAAGCCTCTCCTGGGGGTTATGGGAATTTACATATGTAGAAAGGAATGTCTTCTGTGGTGATTTGAGTTTGGTGCCGCATAGGATCCTGTGGTTAGATTACTCTTCTGCATCTAGTTCTGACTCTGTAAAAATGGTGAGCTGTTAACATCTTTAATCACATGAGAGAGGAGAGGGGACTATCTAACAATGAACAGACATGTTACAGTGCCAGTAAATGGTTAGCAGAGGACTTGCTAGCTGTATTTATTTGATGACAGTTTTACTCTTAACTAAAACACAAAGTGAGGGAAAATGGAATCAGGAGAACTGCT